AAAATAAGTACGGATATACCTTTCAACATTTTGACAGTCAATATAGAAGATTTAAATATTAAAAAAACCTGGACGTACAATGGTATTAATAATATAGATCAAATAATGCAACAGAATCAAATTATGTCTTTTGAGGACATTAGGCAGTTATTTTTTCTTCCTTATAGAGAGAATTTTACATATTTAAGGATAAAGCATTTTTTACACAAACATAGGGTCATAGAGTCATCTGAAGGATTACATCTATTCATGAATCTAATTAATTCTAAAAGTAATAACAATTTAGTATCACATTGTGCTAAATTATATAAATTATATAAATCAAGCACAATATTTCCAGCCCTTGTATCTTGGGAAAAAGACCTACAGGTTACTATTACAAGAATTGAGTGGATAAATGCAAATAATGCTGTAACTAAGGCTATTCATTGTTTAAATTCAATTGAAAGTCATTATAAGATTATTAATAGATGGCATTATGTTCCCACTAAATTGGTAAAAATTTACCCATCCTCTCAATATAGGTGTTGGAGATGCGGCACATATAGAGCAGACTATGTCCACATCTGGTGGTCTTGCCCAAATCTAAGTCAACTATGGAATAAAGTAGCAACATTTTGTCAAGAGGTGATAAAAGTAGATCTTGACTTTACCTGTAGGTCTTTTGTACTCTAGGGTTGGCCTAGAATTTCAAGAAGTAAAAAAGATATAGTGATTCACATCTTAACTAAAGCAACATTAGCGAGATATTGGAAATTATCCGACTCCCCCTCTTGGGATATGATAAAATATCAGGTCCTGAACCATTGCAAAATGGAGATTGGAATCCTGAGACAAGATAACTATACTAACTCTAGAATAGAACAATGGGAGGAATGGGTAAAAAAATTAAGTCCTACATAAGGAAAATAATAGTATCTATTATTCGATCTTAGCACAGTATGTATATCGGACATTACTGTTAAATACAAGTAGTGAATAATAAATTTTTTATTTTTTTTTATTTTTTTTTAGAAGAATTCAAGATGATAAACTCAGTATGACAAATAACTAACGAACATAGAGACAGATTAGAAAAATGTCTTAATAATTTTACATCTTAGAGAGCTAACACTGTTGATATGTTCATAAGGTTGTAATGTTTCTATATTTTGCATCTCTATATAAAGCCATTTTGTGGCTATTTATAGCGTAAACCTTATTTAAAAAAAAGGGAAAAGAAAAGAGAGAAAGTAGCAGAAAAGGGAAAATAAAAGGGGAAAATATCAAGCCCTATAGTAAGGCACTATATGTCAGGATTTATAGATCTCGGCACAGTACGACTTTATGTTTGTCTTTTTGTTTATATGGTTTGTCATAGACAGTGAATATCTATATAAGGTTCTTTCAAGTCGAAGTGAAGACACTAAATTTGGTATGTCGTCTTATTTATAAATAAGGTGATAATTAAGGGTAATAAATTAAAAATTTGGTATCTTAGAGTGCTAGAACTGTCTGAATGTATTTATTGTCTTATTGTCTTCTGTTTATATTTTTAAATGTAAGTCTTTTATTGTGTATTGTGATAAATTTTCGAAAAATAGTAAATAATGAAATATATAAAAAAAAATGGGTCCAGCATGACAATGACCCAAAACACACAGCCAAGGCAACAAAGGAGTGGCTCAAGAAGATGCACATTAAGGTCCTGGAGTGGCCTAGCCAGTCTTCAGACATTAAGCCCATAGATAATCTGTGGAGGGAGCTGAAGATTGAAGTTGCCAAACGTCAGCCTCGTAACCTTAATGACTTGGTAAGGATCTGCAAAGAGGAGTGAGATAAGATTCCTCCTGAGATGTGTGCAAACATGGTGTCCAACTACAAGAAATGTCTGACCTCTGGGATTGCCAACAAGGGATTGCCACCAAGTACTAAGTGGAATGGGTCAAATACTTATTTCATAAATTTTTGGTTATTCTGTCTCTCACTGTTAAAATACACCAACCATTGGGGGCGTGTCCATCAAGAGAGCGGAGCAGTCGCATGGCGTAACTGCTCCTGGTACACCGAGCCCATAAAGTAGCATAAAATACTGTATATTGCCGGAATTTTCTCAAGCCAGTTGCTCTTATCTAAGTGACGCTCATGGCACCATCAAAACAATTGAAAATTACGGACCCGGTCTGCCAGAGTGCCAAAAAAGTCTGTCTCAAGCTGCAAGATGGCAATTACCACGCGGAGCACTCACCAGCTTCAGAGAGTCCATCGGAGTCAGACCCACTGGCATCCCCGTCTGAAGAATCTCCGGTCATGGACAAAAGCTTGTAAGCCATGCTATTGAGCTTACAAACAACGCTGCAAGCAAACTTCCAAAAATTAGCCACAGATCTCTGCAAAGAGATGGCGGACCTGGGAGGCAGAACATGCCATCTTGAACACAAGAAGAACTCTGTGTGGCTCATAAAGAGGTCATGAACAGACTGCAATGGCTGGAAGATTGACCAAATTGCTTAAGGCAGCGGACATCGAAGACAGGGCAAAAAGGAATAATATCCGCTTTCGGGGCATTGCTGACTCTGTGTCCAACGAGGAGCGGCCGAAATTCCTCCTAGCCCTCTGCAAAGCTCTGGTGCTGCATTTGGAAGACACCGCTTGGGCCTTCGACCGCGTGCACCATATGCCGAGGCCGCAAAGGTTTACTGCAGACACCCCGTGAGACATGATAGCCCGCTTTCATTACTTCCATTCCAAAGATCAACTCTTCAGTGCTGCACAGAAACTCCCCTGCTTGCCAGAACCGTACCAGGGCATTAATGTGTTCGCCGACCTCTCAGCTACGAAGAAAGGAGTTCATAAATGTCACCAAGACCCTCCGTAACCACAAGATACGTCATCTCATCAATTAAAAAAAAAATTTCATTGATGAGGTGCCGTCATAAGAAAGACATAGCTCAGGCGTACTGGTGACTTCTGCACCGTATGAAAACCTTATGTTCATTATCAGTTAGAATCTGGTGTTAATGTGTTATGTTACAACTGCTGTGCACGATATTCATAAGTATGCTCGCTGATATGTAATCCCAGATTAATACCGCAGACATTCTCATGTCCCTTACTAGGCAATGGCACAGCACAGCTAGCCATTACCTGCTCCCTAGCATCTCACTTCACGAGACACGGTAACTGATCAAAGGGACAACATTACTTGCCCCTGGATTATCAATACGTGCACTTTGGTCAAATCTTGAAACTTGTGATGTTGATGCAGTAAATGGGACAAACACAATGGGTAGGACCTATTTCTGGAGGAGCATACCCCCACATGCCCACACAGCACATTTACAAGCACGCCCAGGGTCAAACCATCTCCAGATATTTTCTAAATAGTACGGTCTCAGCGCATATTACGGGCAGACTCGGTGACTGCTCATAAATACCACCCCCTGAACGCTGATGGGATGCTCTGATGAGCACCTTCCCCTCGGTCGTTCTCTGTGCATAGTCTGCATATACTTTATTTCATGTTTAGTTTGCTGTTATAATTTTATTTTTTAATTTTTTTGTAAATTTTTATTTTTGAAGAGCAGGCAGTGTCACAACAACAGCTGCGTGCACAGTAGTTAAAGACATAGTTAAACAGCAGTGCGACATACTAAAGCAGGTAGTAGCACAATTTTTATAATTTTCTTGAGTGATGCAAGAACTAAAAGTGAATATGTAACAGGTTAGAATATATTAGGTGGTGTAACCTTGCCAGAGCCGCTTCTGGTGGCCTGTATGGCCGTATTGTCATCTGTCCCTGTCCTCCTTAGCTTTGGGTGGGGTTGGGGACAAGCTCTAGGGGCGTGCGCTCTAGCGGCTAAAGGCAATAGTGGTATGTGGCATGGTTTAATGACTCCTTTACCCCAGAGTCTGGGGGGGGGAGGAAGGCCATCCGCCTAGCTCCTGAGTGGGGTTTCGTGACATTGGTGCCGTGGGCTTAATGATACTATATGTATAGTGGTTCCTTAACGTGAGATATCAGTCTACACGATGAGAAATTAGGTTGTTAATAGTAAACCATAAGTAAATCAGATAGAATACCAAGAGAAATAAAAATGCAAAACAAACACAATAAAGCAAAGCATAACACGTAGATGTGGGAGCCAAGCTCCAACTCGCCCAATATGTGACAACACCAGGATGGAGGTTTTTGTTGCAATGTCTCTCTATCCGACGACTGCTCAGTCGGTTCAAGTTACCCAGGGCTGCACTGGCCCCTGTCCCACTGGTGTTATCTGTCCCGCAGGGGTAAAGTCTGGAACGTTAGCTACGTCCCACTTGTGTGGAGGTCTTGTCTTGGCCCCTGCCTTCTGTTGGATGCCCAGCGCCTGCAGAAATTGTGGAGCCTCTTCCGGTGATGCCAGTCGGTGGTTGTGCCCATCTCGCATAGCGATAAGAAGCCTTGGGTATCCCCATTTATATGGTATCTCTGCTGTTCTTAGTTGTGCCGTGGTTTCTTTTAAGGATGCACGCCATTGTAGCGTCTGGCGGCTGAGGTCTTGATAAAAGTTCAGGTTGAGGTCTTCAAATGCAAATGGGGTCTGGCCCCTGACGGCCCTGAGAAAGCCATCCTTGTCTGCACGGGTTTTGAAGTTCAATATGACATCTCTTGCTGAATCAGGTGCGTTGCGTTGGCGTCCCGGTATGCGAAATAGGGTTATGCTTTTGGCCTGTTTGGGTGGCAGGGCGGCCTGGAGCATTCTCTTAATGAGATGCGGTAGTTCCTCTGTTGTTACGGTGTCTGGGATCCCCCTCACCTTGAGGTTTTTTTGCCTTGCTGCATCCTCCAGCTGCCCCATTCGGGTGTTCATCTGCATGCACATGGCTGTTAGTTCCAGCGTTTGATTGGCGGTAGCTTCTTGCTGGGCTTTCAGGTCTTGGACCCCGGCTTCTGCAGTTTGTATTCGGCCCGTGAGCGTATTCAGCTCAGACTTGAGGCCTGCGAGTTCTGCCGCGAAAAAAGCCTTGAGGTCTGTCACCATCCCTGACAGGTCGACCTTAGTGGCTAGTTGGTGGTCAGGTTGTGTCGGCGGTGCATTCTGCAGCCTCCATTGGGGTATCTGGGTTGATATGTCACCAAGGTATTCATCGTCCGATTCCGAAAGTGACTCCATCCCCATGTCGTGGTAGGCGTCCGCCATCTTGGGCCTACATGCTTGGGACAGGAGCTGCCCGATATCTTGTGTGTGGCCCGTGTTTTGCCCTCTGGGTTTTTTGGAGTGCTTCCCCATTGCTTGGTGTATCCTCCGTAAGTGATTTGTCGGTATCTAGAGGCTTTTTGGGTGAGCCGTGAGGCTTTTGTAGAGCAGTTCTGCCGGAGCTCGGGTGCCATGCGTCTTGTCAGCTCAGCCACTAGCCCTGCCCCCCCGTTATAATTTTATTTATCGTTACCCTCTACTTACACTATCCCTCACATTGCCTTTATACACCCGGCACCTCATGCACCGAGGCTCAACTGGTCTACACAGGTGAAACCAAAATGGACCACACAACTATTAGGTGCAAAGCATGGAACTTTAGGAAACGGTGATGGGAGAGTGAGGCATCCCCCCCTTAAAAAGTATGGCTGACCCACTATTCAAAATCCTTTCACTCAATGTTAAAGGGCTCAACAGTCCACACAAACAGCTGCTTCCCATCCAAGAAATGCACAAGTTCCATGCCACAGTGGTCTTCTTTCAGGAGACTTATTTCTGCAAATTACCCAAATTACAAACTAAAAAATACCCACACACATTTAATGCATTCTCCCCCCATATGTCAAAGGGAGTCTCCATTTTCTTCCATTCGGACTGGGCCTTCAATTTAAACAAACAGTACACCGATGAACAGGGCAGTTTATTGATAGTGGTGGAGACATTGAACGGAATTCAGGTTACAATTGTATCGCTCTACGCTCCCAACAACGCACAAGCCGACTGTCCCTACTCCTGGTAACTCCGGCTTTAGCTGGGGATCTGGGCCGGCTGTCCAGCATCCCTGTAGGGCCAGTGGAGAGACTTTGGTCCCACCTCCACAAGTCTATGAGGTCCCCTACTTTGGGTACCTCCAGCTGCCACTGGGGAGAGAGGCTAACATCCTCTGATGTAAAGTCAATTAAACCTGTGGGCACCTCTTCCCAGATCAGTGGCTCTCTTGGCTTGTCTCTCAATGGTCACCTGGTTCCAGATTGCCTGGAAGGTCTCCATCGACACGTTAGAGCCATACCATGCCAGTCGCTGCCGCACCTCGAACAGCAACTCTGAGCAAGAGTCAGAAGATGCCATGCTTGCCTGATCCATGTCTGTGGGCACCTCTTCTTCCAGGGCACGAATGCTAGGGTTGCCCTCAATATAGTCCACACGTTACCGGTGTCTCCAGGTGGCTCCTCGCACTAGGAAGCCATCACGACCGGGTTCCTCTGCCAATCAATGCTCCTAGTGTTCACCGAGGACTCAAAGCACTCCACCAGACACCATAAGCATCGTAGACCCCACAAACCACAGCATCTTGGTTGGGGTCTCGCCATCCTCCACGCACCCTGGACCCAAGACCAGAACCCAGCCTCCAGTGAGTGAACCTCTCCTACTCCAGAGAGCATAGCAGGAACAGCTCTTATAAGAGCTAGTGATTAGAACCCATGGGAGTATAAGGGGTATAGCAATCCCCAGAGTGAATATAGCTGCCCCCTCCACACATGAGACGAGGCTCTATGTTGAGGGTGTAGAGGAACTGGTTTAACGGTAGCCACACTGGCCTTATATGACAATCCCCATGCAAGGGTTACGCCCACATGGACCAATAATAATAGTGTTACAATGCATGACACTCTCATATACAATACAATAAGCCTTCCCCTTTACTTAGGAGATAATTGAGTCAAGCACTATACTAAACTCAATTATCTCAAACACAAAAAACACACATTTTTAGAAACCCCCCAAAATACCTTAAAATACATAAGATCTCCACAAAAGTCACATCCCCTGATAGCCCTGATCTGGGTGACCAACATTTCCAAAAATCACCCAGATCAGTTCAGGGGTTCAGGAATTTCCTTGAAGTTATAGTTTTCACCGACCGCACTCATAGTCCCATGCCCAAAACGGTTCTATAGAATTGTGGCTAAGTGCCACTGGCGACCGCCCGGAACCGTGAAGTCTTCATGCTGAAAATAGTTTCTAGAATCGCAGCTTAGTGCCGCTTAGGGACCAACCGAGAACCGCAAAGTCTACATGACGAAAATAGTTCCAGGGCATTCGCGGCTAAGTCCACCTGCAGGAAGTCTATTGGTGGTTTTGGTCCAGGGATCTAGCGTTCGGTTCTATGGAAAGTGCCAAACCAGGGGGAATAAAATATTGGTCTTTACAGTCGTTGACTTGGCCCATAGTCTTTTGGCAAGAGGCTGGACAGCAGGCCCTTCCAAGCACCCGTGACGAAGTTCAGTTCATCACAACCTGTATGACACATGGCGCTGTAAATACCCAACAGGGAAGGACTACACCTTTTTCTCCCAGGTTCACCTCACTTACTCACGCATAGATTTATGTGTTGTGGACAAAGCTACCTTGACAAACATTGCAGAAGTCTCCATAGGCACCAGATCGTGGTGATACCATGCTCCCCTTACAATAACTTTCAGGGCGCTATACTCGGCAAAGGGAAGAGGGAAGTGGAGACTGAATGAGATGTTGCTTGAGGACAGTACAACCAAACCAATCATTCCTAAAGTGTTAACAGACTATTTCTTAGATAACACCACTGACAAGATGTCTGCATCCTCCCAGAGGTGTTTTCATCCAACTAGGCTCCAAGAGGAAATGATCAATGACCGACACCCAGGTCCATTTGCTAAAAGAGCGGGCCGATCTGGAAAGTCAGAACAAACAAAACTTTTTGTCACTTTTCATTTGTACTCTTAATATCTTCACCTTCCAAATATTATATCTATATTGTAAAATAAAGATTTGGGTTATCACAAGAATGATGCATGTTTTATATTTTATGTTTAAAAAATTTCAGATGATCGTAAACACAAAGGAAAATGACTATATATTTATAGGAATTTTGTAATTATATAGGTTGTTTTAAGATTATGTTTAATAAATGACTAATATGTTGTAATTTTATTTTTTAATGTCTGGGACTATTTGATCCACATGAGGATCATACAGGGACGAAGTGGAACCCATGTGCGTTCCAACTACATATAACACTACAGCAGAGCTAGTCTTAAGGACAAAGTGAGAATACTTCCGGATTGGTGGAACGCATATGCGTTCCACGGATGCCCTCCCCGGAACTCCATATAAGGAAATAGAGGATGAATAACCGGAGCTGAGCAAATTGAAGACAGCGGATTGGAGGAATAGAACGAAAAGCCAGCGGGAGGAACTTTTAAAAGACAGCTGTAGCTCCCAAAAGATCTGAAGCACTTTATTTGACTTTTTACTCCTGAGGAAGTCTGACCGTTCAGACGAAACGCGTAGAGACACATTTCATTGTTTATTTGTTTATTTTGTTTTTTCTGCCTGATATCTCTGTGAAAATCATTCTACTCCATATTGATGGGATACACAGAATTGTATTGATGGGCCTTTTTTCATCTTTTATATTGTAAGTGCAACCATTAAAACTGATTCATATTTTATGACAGTGCTATACTATGCTGTTTTTTAACTTTAGCATGCATCATTCATCATCCTAACTATGAGGAATTCATGAGAGCCTACAATAAATTGATGAGCCTGAAAATTACTCCAATTTTGTGAGTGTGACATTGAAATAAGGGGCTATCTGTGAATTTACGTTATTTCCCTATGAGCTTTTTTCTTTATTTTATAGGTTTAGGTATATCCTATTTTTCCACCATTGACCCCACACCTTACGAAACTTTTTAATGATATCAAGTCCTCAAGAGATGTGCCTAGGGAAATGCTAGAAGCACACGTGGTGATGCTGTCCAAACTGGTTAAACACCCTCAGAATGTGCAAATCTCCGCCCAATATCAAACTCTATGCCAAACTATTAACATCCCACTTGAAACCGTATCTTTGTTGGCTGGTCTCTGTGGAACAAGCAGGGTTTGTTCCTGGCAGACAGGTTGGTGATAACACAAGTCACTTTATTAGTTATTAAAGCGATTTATTGTTATACACGTATGTTCACACACATTGGTTTTCTAAACAATAAATACACCTTTCATCAGATTTCATGTTTCAGCAATTACAGATGTTTTGACAATTGTAAATTGATGTGGAACACTCTCTGACAATGTCCTTAATAAGAATCCTGTGGACACCCCAATTGCTGTTAAATATATCATTATGTGGACACAGCTATTATTTATAACTGTAGCAACTAAACATTTATGCAGATTAATATAAACATTAACAGTAACATTTAGCATATTGGAATTATTACGCGCTATACAGATAACTGTATAAATACAGGCATCCAACCTGATACCTTAGCTATTGATAGAAGTTATATAAGAACATTTATCTCATTTTTGTAAAGCTGAAAACAGTGGGGATGAAAATTCCTTTTATGTTACAATGTACAGGCTGCCTGGGTCTTTTTGTTTGTATTACAAAAACAGGTTTGTAATCTGCGATCTGTATTTGTTCATATCACAGTGCCAGATGTTCTACATAATGCATATTTCTTCTGTCATGATGGATTTTCCTCTCCTTTTCCCTCCCCTTCCATTCAATCGAAGTATATTAAGCAGTAAATATGCCAATACATATTAACATAGTAAACTGTGGTCTAATGTATGTCAATAAGACACATGTTTACGAAAATATAAATGTAGTCATGTCGAAGTGTCGCCGTAGACTGTGACATGTTTTCCCAAAGCGTGTAGGAAGTCCCTGTTTTAGGCTCTCTTTCCTTATCATGGGTTTTTCCCTTTCCTTCTGTTTTGTTCACTTTTATCTTTTTCCTCTTCCTTTACTTTTATGATTCAAATTTTGGTGTCCAGCCTGGACATTGTAGCATTATTCCCATTAGTGATCTTTTGTGCCTCGGTAGGTGTAGAGACGGGAAAGTTATATAGCCTGACTTTTATACCTATAGAGTAAGTTTCCCGGGAGTGTCTGATACATAGAGGCTATTGGTGCAATATTCCACGAGCCTGCACCAGGCCTCTTGCATCTCATTCCCACTCCCTCCCTCTCCCCACATCAACGGTGTTTGAGACGTCCATCTAATCTTGTATTGTTGCCTAACATTACTGTTGAGTGGACAGTTGTTTTGTGGTGGTGGCGTTCCTTCCGTTTAGTTTAAGTTTGTGTTCGTAGGCAGCGTTTCCCTCCATCTGCTGGCACCCCCAGGCCCCCTCGCCGGCCCAAGGTATCAGAGGCATGGAGCCAGAGAAGAGGGGGCAGCAATGCCAGAGGTGGCAACCGGGAAGAGACAAGAGCAAGGCACTTTATTAATCTAATTGATTGGGCTTCCTTCTCCAAGCAAATGGGAATGTTGATAGCGCTCGATGCTGAAAAAGCATTCAATCGCCTCAACTGGGCCTACATGCAAGCCACACTCCTAAAAATGGGCATACCTCGGGCATTTGTCACCAGTATTCAAGCCTTATATCAACACCCAACAGCTAAAGTCTTTAACTCAGGATTCCTATCAGAGCCGTTCGAAATTTCCAAAGGCACACGTCAGGGATGCCCTGCTAATCTATATTCTCTGCTTAGAACCCCTAGTTCACCTGCTCAAACACAATGCAATCATAGCAGGCCTACAAACCCCAACAGGAGAGCAGAAACTGGCATTATTTGCCAATTAAATTTTACTCTTCCTCACAAATCCAGAAAGCTTGATTCCTGAGCTGATGAAGCTCCTGGAAGATTATGGCAAAGTCTTGTACTATAAAAATAATAGCACAAAAACTCAAGCTCTACCTATAGCACTGCCCAGTACTCAAGTCTAATCCCTACAACAGATGTTTCCATTCAACTGGCGTTAAGTACTCCCTGAAATACCTAGGTATACACTTAACTAAATCGCATCATCACCAAATCATGTGGCCCTTACACATAAACTCAGATTGCAATTAGAGATGTGGAGTAACCATGAGATATCCTGAATTGGCGGCATCCATATCATCAAGATGATGGCCTTACTGCACATACTCTACCTCTTCCGAACAATCCCTCAATAAATTTTATAGAAAAATCTTTAATGCACACATTTGGAAAAAGAAACCCTCAAGAGTTTCCAAATGGTTGACCTGGCTCCCCCTCCACAAGGGGTGTCTGGGAGTACCATATGTCACCATCTACTACCAAGCATCCATAACGGCCCAAGGCC